TTGTTTAATATATTTATAGATGAGGTTGTAAAAGAAGTAAATGCTAGGGTGTTCAGGAGAGGGGTGGGATTAAATTATGGGGAATCAAATTCAAAATGGGAATTGACACAGTTGCTTTTTGCTGATGATACTGTGCTTATGGGAGATTCTAATGAAAAATTGCAAAGGTTAGTGGATGAGTTTGGGAGTGTGTGTAAAGGTAGAAAGTTGAAAGTGGACATAGAAAAGAGTCAAGTGATGAGGGTATCAAATGATTTAGATAAAAAAAAAATTGGATATTAAATAGGGGAGGAGGAGTATGGAAGAAGTGAATGTTTTCAGATACTTGGGAGTTGATGTGTCGGCGGATGGATTTATGAAGGATCAGGTTAATCATAGAATTGATGAGGGAAAATAGGTGAGTGGTACAATGAGGTACATGTGGAGACAAAAAAACGTTATCTACGGAGGCAAAGAAGGGAATGTATGAAAGTATAGTAGTACCGACACTCTTATATGGGTGTGAAGCTTGGGTTGCGAATGCAGCAGCGAGGAGGCGGTTGGAGGCAGTGGACCCTCTACTACCATCACTACCACCCTTTACCATCACCACAACCACCCTCTACCACCATCACAACCATAACCACCTTCTACCACCATCACTACCAGTCTCTACTACCATCACTACCACCCTCTACCACCATCACTACCACCCTCTACCACTGTCACTACAACTCTCTACTACCATCACAACCACAACCACCCTCCACCACCACCCTCTACCATCACTACAACCCTCTACTACCAACACAACCACAACCACCCTCTACCACCATCACTACCACCCTCTACTTCCATCACTACCACCCTTTACCACCACAAAAACCACCCTCTACCACCATCACAACCATAACCACCCTCTACCACCATCACTACCACCCTCTACCACCATCATTACAACCCTCTACTACCATCACAACCACCCTCTACCACCATCACTACCACCCTCTACCAGCATTACTACCACCCTTTGCCACCATCACAACCACCCTCTACCACCATCACAACCACCCTCTGCCACCATCGCAACCCTCCCTACCACCATCACAACCACCACTGCTACCACCCTTTGCCACCATCACAACCACAACCACCCTCTACCACTATCATACCACCAACACTACCACCATCACTACCAACCTCTACCACCATTACTACCTTCCTTTGCCACCATCACAACCACCCTCTACCACCATCACAACCACCCTCTGCCACCATCACAACCATCCTCTACCACCATCACTACCACCCTCTACCACCATTACTACCACTAATTACCACCATCACAACCATAACCACCTTCTACCACCATCATTACCCTCATCATAACCACTCTCTACCACCATCACTACCACCCTCTACCACCATCACTACCACCAGTGTTCTGGATGAACACTAGGAGTATTGCTCACTGAACAAGTGACAGAGGCAGACCGAGTCGCACGTGTGAGTGGCCGCATCCTGGGCGGGTGGACGCGTCTGATACAGATGGTTTCTGAACAAAGGTACGAAACCTGGGGTAAAATTTTGCCCAAAAAAGTGGTCGAAATCCAAATTCTATGATATCCACACCGGACGAAATCCGGGGTTCCACTGTATAGTGGAGGAAGTATAGTGGAGGAAGTATAATGGAGGAAGTACAGTGGAGGAAGCATAGTGGAGGAAGTACAGTGGAGGAAGTATAGTGGAGGAAGTATAGTGGAGGAAGCATAGTGGAGGAAGTACAGTGGAGGAAGTACAGTGGAGGAAGTACAGTGGAGGAAGTATAGTGGAGGAAGTATAGTGGAGGAAGTATAGTGGAGGAAGTATAGTGGAGGAAGTATAGTGGAAGAAGCATAGTGGAGGAAGTATAGTGGAGGAAGCATAGTGGAGGAAGCATAGTGGAGGAAGCATAGTGGAGGAAGCATAGTGGAGGAAGTATAGTGGAGGAAGCATAGTGGAGGAAGCATAGTGGAGGAAGCATAGTGGAGGAAGCATAGTGGAGGAAGCATAGTGGAGGAAGCATAGTGGAGGAAGCATAGTGGAGGAAGCATAGTGGAGGAAGTATAGTGGAGGAAGCATAGTGGAGGAAGCATAGTGGAGGAAGCATAGTGGAGGAAGTATAGTGGAGGAAGCATAGTGGAGGAAGCATAGTGGAGGAAGCATAGTGGAGGAAGCATAGTGGAGGAAGCATAGTGGAGGAAGTATAGTGGAGGAAGTATAGTGGAGGAAGCATAGTGGAGGAAGTACAGTGGAGGAAGTACAGTGGAGGAAGTACAGTGGAGGAAGTACAGTGGAGGAAGTATAGTGGAGGAAGTATAGTGGAGGAAGTATAGTGGAGGAAGTATAGTGGAGGAAGTATAGTGGAGGAAGTATAGTGGAGGAAGTATAGTGGAGGAAGCATAGTGGAGGAAGCATAGTGGAGGAAGCATAGTGGAGGAAGCATAGTGGAGGAAGTATAGTGGAGGAAGCATAGTGGAGGAAGCATAGTGGAGGAAGCATAGTGGAGGAAGCATAGTGGAGGAAGTATAGTGGAGGAAGTATAGTGGAGGAAGCATAGTGGAGGAAGCATAGTGGAGGAAGCATAGTGGAGGAAGCATAGTGGAGGAAGCATAGTGGAGGAAGTATAGTGGAGGAAGCATAGTGGAGGAAGCATAGTGGAGGAAGCATAGTGGAGGAAGCATAGTGGAGGAAGCATAGTGGAGGAAGCATAGTGGAGGAAGCATAGTGGAGGAAGCATAGTGGAGGAAGTATAGTGGAGGAAGTATAGTGGAGGAAGTATAGTGGAAGAAGCATAGTGGAGGAAGTATAGTGGAGGAAGCATAGTGGAGGAAGCATAGTGGAGGAAGCATAGTGGAGGAAGCATAGTGGAGGAAGTATAGTGGAGGAAGCATAGTGGAGGAAGTATAGTGGAGGAAGCATAGTGGAGGAAGTATAGTGGAGGAAGTATAGTGGAGGAAGTATAGTGGAGGAAGTATAGTGGAGGAAGTATAGTGGAGGAAGTATAGTGAGGAAGTATAGTGGAGGAAGCATAGTGGAGGAAGCATAGTGGAGGAAGTATAGTGGAGGAAGCATAGTGGAGGAAGCATAGTGGAGGAAGCATAGTGGAGGAAGTATAGTGGAGGAAGCATAGTGGAGGAAGCATAGTGGAGGAAGCATAGTGGAGGAAGCATAGTGGAGGAAGTATAGTGGAGGAAGCATAGTGGAGGAAGTATAGTGGAGGAAGCATAGTGGAGGAAGTATAGTGGAGGAAGTATAGTGGAGGAAGTATAGTGGAGGAAGTATAGTGGAGGAAGTATAGTGTACCTTTTGTTCTCAGTCACTTGTGTAGTTCTTGCTATCAGTCACTTGTGTAACTCTCCCTATAAGACATTTAGATGCAGTGGACACCTTTATTTAACAATGAAACTTGACTCACACATCGGGTGTCATCAAGTTGTTCGGAAAATACGTCACAGGAATACATATACAGGTATAAACAAAGGACAAGTTACAGCACTTCTGACACTTGCACATAGCCAAGGACATTTCATGTTAACAAAAGCTTTGTATGTACCATACTTATAAGTTATCCAAGTGTGTGAGAGCCAACTTAATAGTCTGTGGTGTATCATGCAATGTTATCTCACTCCAAGAAAGAACCCTTCTCTTTTTAATGTATTCTTTGCTGACTTGATAAAAGTCTACAATATTTTCTTGGTGTCATTTATTAAGTGCTGGTAATCTTACAATTATTAAGTGTGCCATCAATCTTACAGTTTTAAAGTGTGCTAGTAATCTTACAGTTATTAGGTATATTGGTAATCTTAGTTACTGAGTGTACTGGTAATCTTACAGTTATTATGTTGGTAATCTTACAGTGATTAAGTGTGCTGGCAATCTTGCCCAGTGTTCTTGTATTGAGCTTTCCATCACAAAGTTATTTTGTGGGAAATACTACCATCCCACATCTTTCCTAAAACTTTTGATCTCCAATTATTCAGTAAATTTGGAAATATATCCTAGAAAACATATATGTTGATGAGCTAAGCTTGTGTGGCTGGAAATATTGCCGTCATCATCACTTGTTCTATTTGTTTGTGTTGATTGGATACATGTCTGAAACCTGTACATCTTACAAAGAGTAGATTTATGCAAGAAGTTTTTTAAACAATGAACATAATAGGAATTTTCTTATTTGTGATCCCTCAAATGTAACTTCTGAGAAAATTATTATTAAACTATACACATTAATATCTGAAAGTATTTCATGCAAATATGAACTGATATACATGTATTAAATTATTATTTGTTAAAACACTTTTTAGATATTTTTTCATCAACACAGATTATTCTGACACTAGTTTCAGATTTTCCTATAGTTAATTAACCCAGAAGCTTTTAGGTAGGACTGTATCAATATGGTTTCTCTTAAGTATAAAATCTTTATATCTTATGTGTTTTTGTACAAAGTGTTTTAGAGAAAGCACTGACAACATTTCTATCCTTTATGAGCTGCCATATGTGCCTGAAGATTAGATTTTCTTGAAAACTCTTTTTGGCACTCTGAGCATTTATATGGTCTCTCTCCTCTATGAATTCTCATATGTAGAGACAAAAATGATTTGCACTTAAAGCTTTTCTGACATTCAGAGCACTGGTATGGCTTCTCTCCTGTATGAAATTTTTTATGTTTTAGTAGATCGGGTTTTCTTGAAAATTTCTTGGGACACTCAGAGCAGCTATATGGTTTCTCTCCTGTATGAATTGTCATATGTGCTATTAGGTTAGACTTTCGTGAAAAGTCTTTTTGACACTCTGAGCACTGATATGGTCTATCTCCTCGATGAAGTCTCATATGTAAAGCCAAATATGTTTTACGTATAAAACTTTTTCGACACTCTGAGCACTGATATGGCTTGTCTACTGTTTGAGTGCTCATATTTCTTACCAGTTTTAACTTTTTTTTTTTTTTTTTTTTTTTTGTGGGGGGGGGGGGGGGGGGAGTTTTTAATTAGATTCACTTTAATACTCTTTTTAAACACTGAAGATTTGCAAGGTTTTTCAGAATGAACACTGCAATACTAAATGTGATTTCAGTGCAAAGTCAGAGTCTTTCACATTACTGATGAATAAGACATATGCAAAACTTTGGCATCTTCATCGCTGAAAGGTGTCACCTGCTCAAAACATTTCTTTTGTCAAATACAGGTGAATAAACACTGTAAATAATGGTAGTAGTTTTGAAGTGATCAGTCTCTGAGTCTTGGTAGGTGTTGGCTAATCCTTCAATGGCATGTGACCAAATCTCACACACTGCTGTCTTGTATGTACTTCCAGACAATACTTTTCTTCAGTGCAAGAAATTATATGACTGATGATCTGTTCTTATATTTTTTGTTTTATCTAAAATGCCAAGGCACTATTTCCTAAGATGACTTTCTTCCAGACAGTTAAGTCTGTAAAACTATGGACGATGAGATAAACTTAAGATTCAAATATAAATGTATTTAAGGTTTTGTCTCTTACGGCTTCTCCCTTCATAGCACTTACTGCTGGCAGTATATATCAACCACTGATGTCACAAGAGCTTTTACTGGCTGCTGGCTAGTAACTGTAAAAAAAGATATAACATGAATGATCAGCAGTACCCAAGTGAGAATCTCACGGAGAATCCTGCAATTTTTCAAACTCTTTCTTGCTAAAACTCCAGGAGAGTATAATACATACTGACAACCTTTACAATACATGCTATAAATGAGCTAAAAGTATCAGACACTAATAGATTATCTTAGTTCAGACGTTATGCCAAAAGAAGCCTAATTACAAACAGTATGCGGTAAGTCAGTCTTAGAGTAATTGATACTTTCCACACCAAGACTTACACTAAAATGCTAACAGAAGGAGGAAGAGGTAAGGAAATCAGAGATTTTTTTTTTTTTCAACAAGTTGGCCGTCCCCCACCGAGGCAGGGTGACCCAAAAAAGAAAGAAAATCCCCAAAAAGAAAATACTTTCATCATCATAACACACTTTCACCACACTCACACATTATCACTGTTTTTGCAGAGGTGCTCAGAATACAACAGTTTAGAAGCATACACATATAAAGATACATAACATATCCCTCCAAACTGCCAATATCTCAAACCCCTCCTTTAAAGTGCAGGCATTGTACTTCCCATTTCCAGGACTCAAGTCCGACTATATGAAAATAACCGGTTTCCCTGAATCCCTTCGCTAAATATTACCCTGCTCACACTCCAACAGATCGTCAGATCCCACGTACCATTCGTCTCCATTCACTCCTATCTAACACGCTCACGCACACTTGCTGGAAGTCCAAGCCCCTCGCCCACAAAACCTCCTTTACCCCCTCTCTCAAACCCTTTCGAGGATGACCCCTACCCCTCCTTCCTTCCCCTATAGATTTATATGCTTTCCATGTCATTCTACTTTGATCCATTCTCTCTAAATGACCAAACCACCTCAACAACCCCTCTTCTGCCCTCTGACTAATGCTTTTATTAACTCCACACCTTTTCCTAATTTCCACACTCCGAATTTTCTGCATAATATTTACACCACACATTGCCCTTAGACAGGACATCTCCACTGCCTCCAACTGTCTCCTTGCTGCTGCATTTATCACCCAAGCTTCACATCCATATAAGAGTGTTGGTACTACTATACTTTCATACATTCCCTTCTTTGCCTCCATAGATAACGTTTTTTGACTCCACATATACCTCAACCCTAGGTAGTAGGTTGGTAGACAGCAACCGCCCAGGGAGGTACTACCGTCCTGCCAAGTGAGTGTAAAACGAAAGCCTGTAATTGTTTTACATGATGGTAGGATTGCTGGTGTCCTTTTTTCTGTCTCATGAACATGCAAGATTTCAGGTACGTCTTGCTACTTCTACTTACACTTAGGTCACACTACACATACATGTACAAGCACATATATACACACCCCTCTGGGTTTTCTTCTATTTTCTTTCTAGTTCTTATTCTTGTTTATTTCCTCTTATCTCCATGGGGAAGTGGAACAGAATTCTTCCTCCGTAAGCCATGCGTGTTGTAAGAGGCGACTAAAATGCCGGGAGCAAGGGGCTAGTAACTCTTCTCCTGTATATATTACTAAATGTAAAAGGAGAAACTTTCGTTTTTCCTTTTGGGCCACCCCGCCTTGGTGGGATACAGCCGGTGTGTTGAAAGAAAGAAAGAAGATATACCTCAACGCACCACTCACCTTTTTTCCCTCGTCAATTCTATGATTAACCTCATCCTTCATAAATCCATCCACCGACACGTCAACTCCCAAGTATCTGAAAACATTCACTTCTTCCATACTGCTCCTCCCCAATTTGATATCCAATTTTTCTTTATCTAAATCATTTGATACCCTCATCACCTTACTCTTTTCAATGTTCACTTTCAACTTTCTACCTTTACACACACTCCCAAACTCATCCACTAACCTTTGCAATTTTTCTTTAGAATCTCCCATAAGCACAGTATCATCAGCAAAAAGTAACTGTGTCAGTTCCCATTTTGAATTTGATTCCCCATAATTTAATCTCACCTCTCTCCCGAACACCCTAGCATTTACTTCTTTTACAACCCCATCTGTAAATATATTAAACAACCATGGTGACATTACACATCCCTGTCTAAGACCTACGTTTACCGGGAAGTAGTCTCCCTCTCTTCTACACACCCTAACCTGAGCCTCACTATCCTCATAAAAACTCTTTACAGCATTTAATAACTTACCACCTATTCCATATACTTGCAACAACTGCCACATTGCTCCTCTATCCACTCTGTCATATATTTTTTTTTTTTTTTCAACAAGTCGGTCGTCTCCCACCGAGGCAGGGTGACCCAAAAAAGAAAGAAAATCCCCAAAAAGAAAATACTTTCATCATTCAACACTTTCACCACACTCACACATTATCACTGCTTTTGCAGAGGTGCTCAAAATACAACAGTTTAGAAGCATATACGTATAAAGATACACAACATATCCCTCCAAACAGCCAATATCCCAAACCCCTCCTTTAAAGTGCAGGCAATGTACTTCCCATTTCCAGGACTCAAGTCCGACTATATGAAAATAACCGGTTTCCCTGAATCCCTTCACTAAATATTACCCTGCTCACACTCCAACAGATCGTCAGGTCCCAAGTATCATTCGTCTCCATTCACTCCTATCTAACACGCTCATGCACGCTTGCTGGAAGTCCAAGCCCCTCTGTCATATGCATTTTCTAAATCCATAAATGCAATAAAAACTTTCCTACGTTTATCTAAATACTGTTCACATATATGCTTCAATGTAAACACTTGATCTACACATCCCCTACCCACTCTGAAGCCTCCCTGCTCATTCGCAATCCTATATTCTGTCTTACCTCTAATTCTTTCAATTATAACCCTGCCGTATACTTTTCCTGGTATACTCTGTAAAAATTATAGAGGAATAAGTTTACTATCTCTTTTGTCCCCTTTCCCTTTATACAAAGGGACTATACATGCTCTCCGCCAATCCCTAGGTACCTTCCCCTCTTTCATACATTTATTAAACATAAGTACCAACCACTCCAACACTATATCCCCCCCTGCTTTTAACATTTCTGTCATGATCCCATCAGTTCCAGCTGCTTTACCCCCTTTCATTCTATGTATTGCCTCACGTACCTCCACCACACTTACATTCTGCTCTTCTTCACTCCTAAAAGATGGTATACCTCCCTGGCCAGTGCATGAAATTACCGCCTCCCTTTCTTCCTCAACATTTAAAAGTTCCTCAAAATATTCTCGCCATCTACCTAATACCTCCCTCTCCCCATCTACTAACTCCCCTACTCTGTTTTTAACTGACAAATCTATACTTTCCCTAGGCTTTCTTAACTTGTTTAACTCACTCCAAAATTTTTTCTTATTTTCACTAAAATTTCTTGACAGTGCCTCTCCCATTCTATCATCTGCTCTCCTTTTGCACTCTCTCACCACTCTCTTCACCTTTCTTTTACTCTCCATATACTCTGCTCTTCTTATAACACTTCTGCTTTGTAACAACTTCTCATAAGCTACCTTTTTCTCTTTTATCACACCCTTTACTTCATCATTCCACCAATCACTCCTCTTTCCTCCTGCTCCCACCCTCCTATAACCACAAGCTTCTGCCCCACATTGTAATACTGCATTTTTAAAACTATTCCAACCCTCTTCAACCCCCCACTACTCATCTTTGCACTAGCCCACCTTTCTGCCAATAGTCGCTTATATCTCACCCGAACTTCCTCCTCCCTTAGTTTATACACTTTCACCTCCCTCTTACTTGTTGTTGCCACCTTCCTCTTTTCCCATCTACCTCTTACTCTAACTGTAGCTACAACTAAATAATGATCCGATATATCAGTTGCCCCTCTATAAACATGTACATCCTGGAGTCTACCCATCAACCTTTTATCCACCAATACATAATCTAACAAACTACTTTCATTACGTGCTACATCATACCTTGTATATTTATTTATCCTCTTTTTCATAAAATATGTATTACTTATTATCAAATTTCTTTCTATACACAGCTCAATTAAAGGCTCCCCATTTACATTTACCCCTGGCACCCCAAATTTACCTACTACTCCCTCCATAACATTTTTACCCACTTTAGCATTGAAATCCCCAACCACCATTACTCTCACACTTGATTCAAAACTCCCCATGCATTCCCTCAACATTTCCCAAAATCTCTCTCTCCTCTACACTTCTCTCTTCTCCAGGTGCATACACGCTTACTATAACTCACTTTTCACATCCAATCTTTATTTTACTCCACATAATCCTTCAGAGTGCAGGCACTGTACTTCCCATCTCCAGGACTCAAGTCCGGCCTGCCGGTTTCCCTGAACCCCTTCATAAATGTTACTTTGCTCACACTCCAACAGCATGTCAAGTATTAAAAACCATTTGTCTCCATTCACTCCTATCAAACACGCTCATGCATACCTGCTGGAAGTCCAAGCCCCTCGCACACAAAACCTCCTTTACCCCCTCTCTCCAACCTTTCCTAGGCCGACCCCTACCCCGCCTTCCTTCCACTACAGACTGATACACTCTTGAAGTCTTTCTGTTTCGCTCCATTCTCTCTACATGTCCGAACCACCTCAACAACCCTTCCTCAGCCCTCTGGACAACAGTTTTGGTAATCCCGCACCTCCTCCTAACTTCCAAACTACGAATTCTCTGCATTATATTCACACCACACATTGCCCTCAGACATGACATCTCCACTGCCTCCAGCCTTCTCCTCGCTGCAACATTCATCCCCATGCTTCACACCCATATAAGAGCGTTGGTAAAACTATACTCTCATACATTCCCCTCTTTGCCTCCAAGGACAAAGTTCTTTGTCTCCACAGACTCCTAAGTGCACCACTCACTCTTTTTCCCTCATCAACTATGATTCATCTCATCTTTCATAGACCCATCCGCTGACACGTCCACTCCCAAATATCTGAATACATTTATTTATTTATTTTATTTATTTATTTATTAATTTGAACATGATACAGAGTAGTACAAATGAATACAGTTAAGTGCAACATGCCAAAGCCCCTTGTATACAGAGCATTATGGGCAGGTTTAAAATTAACTTAAGATTAACTAAGCAGTGATATATTCAGTGGTAAAACATTATTGTAAACAGATAACAATTAACCCTTAAATGGTCCAAACGTATATATACGTTTTTTCAACATCTGAAAGTATGTAAAAAAATGTAGAACTTCTTTTTTTGTTTTACATTTGAAAACGTGTAAAAAAAACTTTTATCTACATTTTTTTGTCGTTATATTTGAAAATCTGTAAAAAAAAGTAGATCTACTTTTGTAGCACTACGAATCTGAACGTCGATCTGTTTGGACTGTTTAAGGGTTAAGCACAAATGAGTATTACAAAGACAGGTCATATGGTCATTTACTGTATTGCTGTGCATTCAGTAGAATGGAGTATTCTGTTAGGTACGTAATTAAAAAATAACAAAGTTTGATTGGATATCAGGTTAAACATTTATGAGATACAATTATGAGAAACATTTATGAGATACAATTTTTAAGATACAATTATTCAGTATTTATTTGGTTGTGGGTGAGTAAGTGATTTTTGAGAAGAGACTTGAATTTATAAACAGGTAGTGTTTCTTTTATATTTACAGGTAATGAAGTCCAGATTTTAGGGCCTTTTATGTGCATTGAGTTTTTGCATAGTGTGAGATGGACACGAGGAACATCAAAGAGTGATCTGTGCCTTGTGTTATGGTCATGTGTTCTGTTGAGGTTGGTAAGAAGACGTTTGAAGGGAGGGTTTATATCTGAGTTAAGTGTTCTATGTATGTAATAGGTGCAGTATTAAGTATGGATGTTTTGTATGGTGAGTAGGTTTAGGGCTTTGAATATTAGTGGAGTGTGCTGCCTGTAGTGGGAATTTGTTATCATTCTGACTGCAGCCTTTTGTTGGGTAATTAGTGGTCTGAGATGGTTTATTGTTGTTGAGCCCCATGCACAATTTCCATAGGTGAGATAGGGGTAAATAAGTGAGTGTTATAGGGCCAGGAGGGCTGACTGTGGAACATAGTAACGTATCTTCGATAGTATGCCTACTGTCTTGGAAATTTTCTTGGAAATTTGCCGTGTATGTGTTTGAAATTTGAGTCTATTATCAAGGTGGATTCCTAAGAATTTTCCCTCTGTGAATTTTGTGATAGGTGATCCATTTATCATTATGTTAAGAGGGACATTTGTAGCTCCGTTACCAAACTGAATGAAGTAGGTTTTGTCAATGTTTAGAGTAAGTTTGTTAGTCCTCATCCAGGTAGATATTTTCTGTAATTCGGTATTTACAGTATTGGCTAGCATGACTGGGCTAGGGTGAGAGAAGACGTATGTAGTGTCATCTGCAAATAGTGTGTGTTTTAGTAGTTGCGATGCATTTGGTAGGTCATTTATGTATATGAGAAAGAGAAGAGGGCCAAAGACACTTCCCTGTGGGACACCAACTGTAATTGGCTGTGCAGAAGAGTTTACCCCATTTCTTTCTTTCTTTCAACACACCGGCCGTATCCCACCGAGGCGGGGTGGCCCAAAAGGAAAAACAAAAGTTTCTCCTTTTACATTTAGTAATATATACAGGAGAAGGGGCTACTAGCCCCTTGCTCCCGGCATTTTAGTCGCCTCTTACAACACGCATGGCTTACGGAGGAAGAATTCTGTTCCACTTCCCCATGGAGGTAAGAGGAAATAAACAAGAACAAGAACTAGTAAGAAAATAGAAGAAAACCCAGAGGGGTGTGTGTATATATATGCTTGTACATGTATGTGTAGTGTGACCTAAGTGTAAGTAGAAGTAGCAAGATGTACCTGAAACCTTGCATATTTATGAGACAGAAAAATGGACACCAGCAATCCTACCATCATGTAAAACAATTACAGGCTTTCGTTTTGCACTCACTTGCCCCATTTGTGTACACATATTGGCTTCTGTTGCTGAGATATGACTTTAGGTAGTTGAGGGAGTGCCCTCTTATACCATAGTGTGACAATTTTATATGGAGCAAGTCATGGTCAACTGTATCAAAAGCTTTACGTAAGTCAATGAAGATCCCCAGTAGGACTTCTTTTTTCTCTATTGCAGTGTATATATGTTCTAGTATGTGTATAATAGCATTATTAGTATTTTTATTAGGCCTGAACCCAAAATGACAGGGGGTTGAGTATGTTTTGGGAGATGAGGTAGGAATAGATTCGCTGATGAATTAATTTTTCAAAGATTTTAGAGAGAGGGTGTAAGTTGGATATTGGCCTATAGTTATTCAAGTCTGTTTGGTCTCCTCCTTTATGAATCAGGGTGACCCTTGCTATTTTGAGAACTGTATTTTGAGAACTTACCAGTGTGATGGTCACTGACTAACCTCTCCCACAACAACCTTCTCTTACTTACCAGTGTGATGGTCACTGACTAAAATCTCCCACAACAACCTTCTCTTACTTACCAGTGTGATGGTCACTGACTAACCTCTCTCACAACAACCTTCCCTTACTTACCAGTGTGATGATCACTGACTAGCCTCTCCCACAGTGACCTTCTCTTACTTACCAGTGATGATCACTAACTGACCTCTCCCACAACAACATTCTCTTACTTACCAGTGTGATGATCACTGACTGACCTCTGAACTACACCACATGTAATCACCCTTTTTCCAAGTGTGTAAAAGTAACTGACAATATTGAATAAACATTTGTATATACAGCCTCTACTCACTTAGTGATGTACTCATTTACTAACGACTCGGACTTACAAGGGCTCTCTGACCAGTATTCATACCTAAATTATGTATATTAGAGCTGATTTCCTCTATTCTGTTTATTACAATATAGAGTACACTACTGTATAAACATTTAAAAATATATCAGAAATATTATAAATGGTGCAAAGGTGACATTAAAACATTATCAAAGATGGTTGACAAACCATTATACTATGCTCCTCACTTAGTGACAAATTCGTTTACTAACGTGATCTCAGGAACGGAACTCCCTCGTTAGGCGAGGAGAGGCTGTATAGCAAATTATTGTTTTCTTAATGGGCTCTATATATTATCAAGAACTGGTAATAAAATACAGAATACTGTATTCAGATATGATAAAAAGGCTACAATAATATACAGCATTTATTAATATCCATCATAATAAAAGTTCATAAAATAAAGGAAACCTTTGTTTACTGGCACTTTCAAAAGTGACATAAAAAAAAAAGAGACAGTTTTATAAAAAAAAAAAAAAAAAAAACTACAGTACACAACAAAATGAAGAGAAAATATTTTTAGTGTCTTACCAAAGATGTTTTACTCTTGGATGGCGGCTATAAAGTCGACTCAACTGGTCATAACTTTAGCTCCAGAACTTCTACCTCTTTCAGTTTATAAATCTGTAATAAAAACTATTATGAAATAACTACACAAGTATTGTCCCACTAACAAAAGTACAGTATCTGCAGTTTCTGTTATCACAGTTTATTGTGGCCTGAAAATAACTGTTAATTTTGCTTAATAATGTCCTCAAAGTGCAAAAGAAGTGATGGTAGCAGTTCTTCAAAGCTTAAGAGAAGCTGAGAGATGCTTCACATCAGGGAAAAGTGATAATTATCCACTAACTGTGCATAAATTATTAATTAAACTCCATAAAAGGTATGTACAGGTCTTATATATAGGGTTCACTACCATCTGCAGTTTCAGTATCCTTGGCAGGTCCTTGGAATGTATCTCCCGCAGATACGGGAGTCCTACTGTATACATTTCTTATAAAATTATGTGATATTTATTTCATACTTCACCAGAAGCTCCTGGTTATGCAGAAGTAACTAAAGCTTAAAACTATTGCCTATTGTATAACTGTATAAATTATCTTAATGCTAACTTGAACTGGCTAGAGTTGTTTGACGATTTTTGTTTTTAACACATCAACTGTTTCCCACCAAGGCACGGTGACCCGAAAAAGAAAAAACGCTTTCATCATAACTTTACTTCTATAGAGTACAATACAGTACATTATACAATTAGGGTAATTAACATATAGAAACTATTTTTTAGAAAGCCCCTTATTGAGTTTAGGAGCTTCACTAAGTAAAGTAAAAATTTATAATGCTAGTACACCTGATGTCCACGTTTGCCTAGCAGTAAAATAGGTACCTGGGTGTTAGTCAACTGGTGTGGGTTGCATCCTGGAGTACCTGGAGAAGGTTTCAGGGGTCAACGCCCCCATGGCCCGGTCGGAGACCAGGCCTCGTGGTGGATCAGGGTCTGATCAACCAGGCTGTTACTGCTGGCCACACATAGAACGACATACGAACCACAGTCTGGCAGATCAGGTACTGACTTTAGGTGCCTGTGCAGTACCTTCTTGAAGACAGCCAGGGGTCTTGAAGACAGCCAGGGGTCTTGAAGACAAACAGGGGTCTTGAAGACAAACAGGGGTCTTGAAGACAGCCAGGGGTCTTGAAGACAAACAGGGGTCTTGAAGACAGCCAGGGGTCTTGAAGACAGCCAGGGGTCTTGAAGACAGCCAGGGGTCTTGAAGACAGCCAGGGGTCTTGAAGACAGCCAGGGGTCTTGAAGACAGCCAGGGGTCTTGAAGACAGCCAGGGGTCTTGAAGACACCCATGGGTCTTGAAGACAACCAGGGGTCTTGAAGACAAACAGGGGTCTTGAAGACAAACAGGGGTCTTGAAGACAAACAGGGGTCTTGAAGACAACCAGGGGTCTTGAAGACAACCAGGGGTCTTGAAGACAAACAGGGGTCTTGAAGACAAACAGGGGTCTTGAAGACAAACAGGGGTCTTGAAGACAAACAGGGGTCTTGAAGACAAACAATGGTCTTGAAGACAAACAATGGTCTTGAAGACAGCCAGGGGTCTTGAAGACAACCAGGGGTCTATTGGTAATCCCCCTTATGTATGCTGGGAGGCAGTTGAACAGTCTTGGGCTCCTGACACTAGTGTTGTCCTGGGACAAAATTGACCTAATTTCTCAGAATTGCTCATCATAACAAGTGCCTTCCTATATATATTGTATTATGTCAGTGATGTCAGCTATGGTGTGTATATCTTGTACATGTACTTGTAGAAATAAAAACTAGTATTATTATACTATTATGATTATTATACTGAGCAATTAACAACTCTAGATATGAAGGTTGAAGAGGCAATCAAGGACTGGAATCAGAACATGCACATTCGACTGAATGAATACCTTGATTTCCAAGACGACAAAACTGAACAAGATAAGTTGTCTGATGCAGTTATAATAAACAGTCCACACATTCCTAGTGACATAACTCAAGAACAGTGCAAAGAAACTGCTATCAGGATAATACAGGACCATGTACAAGTTATCGTGCAAAACAATGAAATCAAAGAAACATGTTTGTTAGGAAAACAAGGTAGTAAACACAGTATCATGATCAGACTTCATTCATATGATAAAAAAAAGGACCTAATTAAATCAGCAATTACAATGAAAAATGGAGTGTACATCAACGAGTGTCTAATGAGAAAACGTCAAAACCTTCTGTTCAGGTTGAGAAAACTTAAACAGGAAAACAAAATACATCAGTGTTTCACTCGAGATGGGAAAATACTAATTAGAAAAACATCAACAGGACAACAATACACCATCTCAAATGAACATGATTTCTCTACCTTCCTTAGAAAAGCTGACATTTCTGTAACAGATTAGGTAAGTGTCCTTAACACATATATACATATGGTGCATATAGTGTATGTTACTATTATTGTGCATTATTATTATTTACTATTACATTATTGTGCATTATTGTTTTTTCTTTTACTAGCTAATACCAGCTACCTCAAATACAGTAAGGCCCCGCTTTACGGCGTTTCGCCTTACGGCATTCCGTTAATACGGTGATGTCAAATTATGACCAAAATTTGCTATAAGGCAAGCAATCTTTCAAATATGGCACCCCCAACCGGTTTGTTTACATTTTCCGTGACCACATCTATTATGTCAGGAAACTTTCCAAAATTTCAAGTGTTTTAAAGTTACTGCATATTTTATATGTACTCTGATAATTATACTTATGTGTACCTGTACCTAAATATACTTACACATTGTGCTGGTGTGCAGGTACACATTAAAATCACTAAGTCTCTCTCTACTCATGACGCCAATACTACCTAATAATAATCACTCTTGGTCATACTAAATGTCTTATTTTACATCAATATAGGCATTTTCATTAATCCATCTATGATATTTTCCTCAAAATTATATTTTTTTTTTATTATCACACTGGCCGATTCCCACCAAGGCAGGGTGGCCCGAAAAAGAAAAACTTTCACCATCATTCACTCCATCACTGTCTTGCCAGAGGGGTGCTTTACACTACAGTTTTTAAACTGCAACATTAACACCCCTCCTTCAGAGTGCAGGCACTGTACTTCTGGCCACAAAATAGAGCGAAACACCAACGTCAAAGACCTGGGAGTGATCATGTCGGAGGATCTCACCTTCAAGGACCATAACATTGTATCAATCGCATCTGCTAGAAAAATGACAGGATGGATAATGAGAACCTTCAAAACTAGGGAGGCCAAGCCCATGATGACACTCTTCAGGTCACTTGTTCTATCTAGGCTGGAATATTGCTGCACACTAACAGCACCTTTCAAGGCAGGTGAAATTGCCGACCTAGAAAATGTACAGAGAACTTTCACGGCGCGCATAACGGAGATAAAACACCTCAATTATTGGGAGCGCTTGAGGTTCCTAAACCTGTATTCCCTGGAACGCAGGAGGGAGAGATACATGATTATATACACCTGGAAAATCCTAGAGGGACTAGTACCGAACTTGCACACGAAAATCACCCACTACGAAAGCAAAAGACTTGGCAGACGATGCACCATCCCCCCAATGAAAAGCAGGGGTGTCACTAGCACGTTAAGAGACCATACAATAAGTGTCAGGGGCCCGAGACTGTTCAACTGCCTCCCAGCACACATAAGGGGGATTACCAACAGACCCCTGGCAGTCTTCAAGCTGGCACTGGACAAGCACCTAAAGTCAGTTCCGGATCAGCCGGGCTGTGGCTCGTATGTTGGTTTGCGTGCAGCCAGCAGCAACAGCCTGGTTGATCAGGCTCTGATCCACCAGGAGGCCTGGTCTCAGACCGGGCCGCGGGGGCGTTGACCCCCGGAACTCTCTCCAGGTAAACTCCAGGTCTCCAGGACTCAAGTCCGGCCTGCCGGTTTCCCTGAACCCCTTCATAAATGTTACTTTGCTCACACTCCAACAGCACGTCAAGTATTAAAAACCATTTGTCTCCATTCACTCCTATCAAACACGCTCACGCATGCCTGCTGGAAGTCCAAACCCCTCAAAATTATATATGAAACAAAATTACATAGCATATGTAGGTGTTTTATCTCCGTTATGCGCGCCGTGAAGGTTCTCTGTACATTTTCTAGGTCAGCAATTTCACCTACCTTGAAAGGAGCTGTTAGTGTCCAGCAATATTCCAGCCTAGATAAAACAAGTGACCTGAAGAGTGTCATCATGGGCTTAGCATCCCTAGTTTTGAAGGTTCTCATTATCCATCCTGTCATTTTTCTAGCAGATGCGATTGATACAATGTTATGGTCCTTGAAGGTGAGATCCTCCGACACGATCACTCCCAGGTCTTTGACGTTGGTGTTTCGCTCTATTTTGTGGCCAGAATTTGTTTTGTACTCTGATGAAGATTTAATTTCTTCGTGTTTACCATATCTGAGTACGTAATTGAAATTTCTCATCGTTGAACCTCATATTGTTTTCTGCAGCCCACTGAAAGATTTGGTTGATGTCCGCCTGGAGCCTTGCAGTGTCTGCAATGGAAGACACTGTCATGCAGATTCGGGTGTCATCTGCAAAGGAAGACACGGTGCTGTGGCTGACATCCTTGTCTATGTCAGATATGAGGATGAGGAACAAGATGGGAGCGAGTACTGTGCCTTGTGGAACAGAGCTTTTCACCATAGCTGCCTCGGACTTTACTCTGTTGACTACTACTCTGTGTTCTGTTAGTGAGGAAATTATAGATCCATCAACCGACTTTTCCTTTAGCACGCATTTTGTGCGCTATTACGCCATGGTCACACTTGTCGAAGGCTTTTGCAAAGTCTGTATATATTACATCTGCATTTTTTTTGTCTTCTAGTGCATCTAGGACCTTGTCGTAGTGATCCAATAGTTGAGACAGACAGGAGCGACCTGTTCTAAACCCATGTTGCACTGGGTTGTGTAATTTATGGGTTTCTAGATGGGTGGTGATCTTGCTTCTTAGGACCCTTTCAAAGATTTTTATGATAGGGGATGTTAGTGCTATCCGTCTGTAGTTCTTTGCTATTGCTTTACTGCCCCCTTTGCGGAG